GGGAGGCAAGCCACTGTGGCTACACCAAGAGACTTCGGAGTGAAGTGTTGTCCTTAGGCCTAATACACTTAGAAGTGAAGTCTTTGGCTTGATGTTAGCACACAGTGGCTGCACTGAAAATTGATGGGCCTAGGTAGATTGGAAACCGGGCGCCAGATGATTTGAAGAATAGGTACAAAACAAACGACGCAATAACAAAGAAGTCTCGGGGAAAAACAGAAAGATGACGAGCCATAAGTGGTCAAAGGATTCGAAATCATCTCAGTCACAAGATTCTTGACATCACGACTCACTGTCAGATTTTGATTCAGAAGAGTCAGATTCGCTTGAGTCTGAAGTGCTTTCTGACTCACAGGAGCTGGATGAAGATGCACTGAGGCGGTTAGCACCATCTAAGAATAGATGAAAGTAACATCAAAAACAACGATTCAACTTACGTTGCTTTTTAGCATTATGTACATTGTGAAAACTGGCGTTTGGTTGAACGCCTCTCATTTCTCGTAACCTGTTTTCCAACTCCTCAGTTTTTTCTTGCATACATTCCTCCCTGGTTTTATTGGGTGTAACACCACTGGGGCCTCTTTTCACGTACTTTCTGCTGCCAGGTTTAGACTTCTGCAGGACAGATTTGACATATTTTTCTAACTCTCTGAGTGTTGTATGCTGCAGGGTTTCAAAATCAATTTCTATTTCATCAGGATTGCAATCCCTATGAGACGGCTCGCGTTGCTGAATGATCTGCACAACGCGACCTAATTTCTCGCCGGGAAGTTTGTTGATATCCAGACTCAACTGACGTTTTTCATCGTACGTCATAGGGCGAACGTTGTTCTCAGACATTTCCTCATCTGTTGTATAGCCTGGGACAGTAGGAGGTGGATGACTAGCAGTGGCGGCAGTATTAAGGGCAGGGACAGCGGGAGTGGATGTGGAACAGGGTGCAACGGTCGAAGCTGTTTGGATGAAAAAATTGTGAAGCAGGCGTTAGATCTAAGCAATTTTCATACGGGAAAGACAAATAACATGGGCATCTTAGGAAACAAGGCTAGTGTTAAAATAAAAACTATGATTGTGGCATCCGTCTCGGAAGTGATTTTTTCCTTGTGTAATCAACTTTGCCAATTATGTTACCCATTGACTACAACTGTTTGAATAAACATCTCACTACGGTACCGAAGTGGGGAGGATACATAAAGATGGGAAGGGAAACCAAATATTCACATGGTGAACAAAGTCGGGATCGAATAGTACGTTCAAAGCCGAAAAGGCACGGGGCAGCAGTTAAAAATTCTGGACACATGCATCTGTCACCAAATTGGGCGAAGCTATCTGCAATAATTTTTAATTTAATCCCGGTTTTTTCAACCGGAAGGTGGACCATAGGTGGTCTCCAAAACCATCGTTAATAGATTACGGAAAGAGATAATTTTGATCGGAGACTGGCAGTCATTTAAACTCTAAGGCAGGGTGAGTCCTGTGTCTTAGCTGTAGTGCGGGATTTCAAGGTAAACGTGTTCGGAGTTCAATGTAGGTAGGTAGGTGGTGCGACGAACTGCCACTAAACGGAATGTCTTACAAGACTCAGAATATGCAGACAATAAACACAAATGCGAAGGTAAGATTGACTGTCCGGCGGAAAGTAAAAGGTGATCAACTATGGTCACCATAATGGTTGGATTTTTTTACTTGAAGCGGCATCAGAGTTTATATTTACAGACAAGCATGAATGTTGACTTAGGTCCTGACGGAGCAATGGCTAACGATATATAAACAACGTAGCTCGCGAGCTTCATGCTGTGCTAAGGGAAGCATGGGGAAGATCACATCAATTACACTTTTAATGGTCTACAAATTAATCAGAAAATGGAAAAGACGATGTATAAACCATCATTAGGGATACAAAAGGAACTCACTGTTGTACAATTGGTTAGAAGAATGCGACTGCTTACCAAACTGGCGGTATTTTGATTTCGACTGGGACTGTCGAGGTTTTCTAAACAAACTTCGTATGAAAGAATGTTAGCAAACCTGGTGGTGTTGAGGTCATCATATGCATCAGTCAGTGGTGCTCGACCAGAACCAGTATGGGGTGCAGGCATAGAGTTAACAGGTGCTTGTATGGCATTTCCAGGTACTGAGAAGTAAAAGTCAGCAACGGAAATACGTACCTCGCTTAGCCTGTATATTTAGGGAGCTAACTATAGAGTTTAAATTAGCTGCACTTCTCTGGAGTTCTTCTGTGCAACGCTGGAACTGGATTGTTAGTCTTTNAGTCTTTGATGCTCTTTAATAGCGTTCTGTAGGGCTTGATATACATTGGGGTCCATTGATCGCACATCTTGAGCTGGGACCATATCAGTTTCGTCATCTTGAACTTTGGCAAACGCCTCTTCGAATATAGCTTGCAACAGTTTCCCAACTTTTGCCACTTCGCTATCCTCTCCATTATATTTATAGCAATTATTGAACATGAGCCTTATGTCGTCAGCGAATTCATACTTTGTCTTATACTGACCACTTTCCAGTTTGGCTTTCACGGTGCTCAGGTCCATGGCCTTTTTCACAACGTCATGGTAATCGTGCAAGCCCATGGCCTCAGCGTCTACTGGCTTGAGGAACAGATGATTCAAATCCTTCGAACGAGGATTATGTATTCAAAGGAAAAACTCACTCGATAACGCTGGGAAGATATGTCTTTAAGTATGTTGCTACAGCCTTTTAACGCCTCAGAAAGCCGTAGGCGTTTGCCAACATTCCGCTCTTCATACTCACGTTTCGGTTTTTTAATTTGACGACGATCACGGGAAGGATCATCAAATGAATGAGGAGTTTGTGGTATATCATCCAACGTAGTATCCAGCTTCTTTTTGGAAGCCTTCTTTCCGCTACTAGAAGTAACTGAGGGTCTGACGACTGGTGTATTCGGCTCAGATGGCAGGGAAGAACCATTCAGTCCGTCAACGTGGTTGGATGGCGCTGGTGGACCGGAGCTATCGTCCATCGAATGAGGCTGTAAAACGGAATTGACTGGTTTCGCCGCTTTAGTGCTCTTTTGAGGGCCAATCTCAGTCTCCGGAGTGGGCATAAACTTCAAGCGCTCTCTCGCTATCTGTTCCAGCTTCATTGCCATCGCGACAACGTCATCACCAGGTTTATTAAAAATGTAGCAGTTCCGAAACATGGTGAACAGATCATCCAAGCATTCTGATGACGAGTGGTAAAACTTCAGGTTTAATCGTTGTTTGATTGTTCCTAGGTCCATAGGATGTTTGATGATCCTAGGATAGTCCTAAAAAGTCAACGGTAAATGCAGGTGGAACATACCGGGAGGTTGAGGCGCTCATGATCTACTGGCCTCGTAAAGGGCCACACCATTTTCTCTTTATAAAGCCGACCAACCACCTCTTTCTTGATGTACTCCAACTGGTTGGTCGTTATTTTGGATGGATGAGACTTAGATGTGTGTGGATCGAGCTTCATTGGGTTTGATGGATCTATGTTAACCTCGGAGCCCATCCGACAGGCGAAGGCCAAAGGAAGACTGAAATGTGAACAAACATGAAAACGGTGAATTCCCAAATAAAAGTAAACATCATTGGTATTTTACAGCAATGGCTTGGTTTATTTGAATTATTTATCTTTGATTTTGTTCGCAACATTCCATTCTTCCTCCGGCTGTTTCATCCGATTAGACAGTAATGGGTGGGGAACCAAAACCTTAGTTAAACTAAGGATCAGAGTCTTATAATTCGTTAGAAAACACCCTGGTGACTAACCCCTACTTCATCGTTTTCCTGTGTTTCATTATTTTTCTTCTAACACAGTGCTAGGTCGTTTGAGATCGGTGGTTTACCTCTCTCCACTAGTATCGCAAGGAAGTTGAAGATCACGCGGGCGGATTATCTTTGCGTTGAGACACGCGTGGAACTACCCGGCGGAAACGGGTAACTGAATTCAGTGTTTTGAGAAGAGAATGAAATCCAGGCAGATCAACAGAAAGGTTTGATGACTACCAAACTATGTAACACGTCAGCTGCGGGAAAAGGAAGCCATTGATGGTTATACCTGTGACAGTGTCAATAAACAGGGCAGCACTTTCGGTTTCTTTTAAGCGTTGCGAAATTGCAGTGGTTACAGAACGTCATCATATATTGGAGCCAAGCAAACCTGCTGCCGTTTAACTCAGTAGTCACCTTCAGAAAGAAGAATCATGCGGTTCATCGCCACAATCCAAAAGTAGAGTTGGCATATCTTGATCACAGATGTCCAAGGGTCCGTCAGCACTTTCACTTGGTTCTAAGGACCAAGATTCAAACCATATCATGAACAATCATCGGAAAATGAAGTCCAACCCTTGGTCTATACGATTAGAAGAATTACATTATCGGTAACCACGAACAAACGGTAGATAGTGACTATGGGATATTACACCAATAATGAATGAATGATGTATCATCAAGTCGATGTGTTACCGTGACTACTCAGGTGGGTGATACAATTCAAGGTCTTAAAAGGGAGGAATTTTAGCTTGTATAACGAATGAGCCTTCCTCAGTGAACTCCTATGTGAGTGTCACCGGATGATAACAGGTCCGTGATCATTGTCTGGTCTACTTGATGCAGAAATCAACGAACCATCACTGTGACCGACTCGGATAAATCGAGTTAGGATTACTGACCGAAACCTCCTGGACTAGTCCCATCTATATTCTTGCACGGGTAAGAGCTATCGCGGCGAGCTTCGCTTGGCTTTCAGAGGACTTCATTTCCTGGATGTCAGCTTTTGTGAGGAAAAACACTTCCGCATGAGTGAGTTGGGATTACTCAGTTTGGATCTCAGATCAAAATTTCACGGAGTGCAAGCGAAGGGTGGTTAATCAGGGCCCGAGAAACGCGACGTCGAATATACTTGGGCCTTCTGAGAAAAGGCGAAAGACCAATAAATGAAAAAAGAGCAGATAGCGCACCTGAGGAGACTGGGAGACTCTCAAAGGCTCGCCAGTAGGTTCCAAGTTATCCTGATGGTAATGAACATCGGCTCTATTAGGTGATACGGTGCACTGAGCGTTGAACCATGCGAGAGGGGCGTTACATCTGACTAATTATACATTACCATTATCATGGTTTTTCATTAATCCACCGTTTTGAGAGTCAGGCTGCGGTAGGTATCTGGTTTGAGCCGCTGTCACCGACGTGCCTTGGGTTCAAACCCCACCACAACTATCTAACCGCGGTGGTAGG